CTTGAGGAATTCACAACCGGAGCCTTTTGCTAACCAAAGCCAGGCCCGCAACGCAGCGGGTCGGTGTGCGAAATCCGCAATGCATTGGGGGCCTGTGTCCAGTTCATTGAATCATAGACGAGGTCAAACGTCCAATGTGCCCAATACACCTTGATGTTCAATCGAGGCGGTGACCACTGTCACAAGCCATTTAGAATCACTGGATACCGTGTGTACCGACATCTGTTTCCTTCATGGGTCTAAGCAGTAGGTATCGAGCCAACCCCACTAATTAAAATACTCGTCCTTTAGTGAAGCAATCTTTATGCACCACTGGTCTTTTATTGTATACTCTTCCACCATTCTCAGTAGACCGGCTAAATGAATTTCTATTTGAAATTTCGAACAGTCTTCAAAGTGTACGGCAATCACTTGAAATACTAATTTTTATCCAAAAGAAACAGTAACATATTTCTACGGTCCTTGAACTTTTATTCATTTCGAGCGCGTACGAAGGACGAATCTCCGCATTAAAAAAGTTCATCCTGCAGACAAAGGTTTTCTGTCAGCAGATTGTACTATAGACTCAAAAGCTCATGGACAATGAAACCCAATCAAAATATCCTCACCAGTGCAGGACTAGTGTTTAAGAGACCTGGTGAGCGGCAGAAAGCGTGGTGAACCAGTGTAAAAATAGATAGAAGTAAATGTAATCAAAAATATAAGAGTGATTTTTTCAGGGAACAACGAGCTTCCTTAGTCTGGTTTAGTAGAAAGGCAATGTTTGAACCTTCAAATACATATGCTCCATATGATGATTCAAACAATAATTGTAAAACCAAATAACATCCCGGGTTCTAATAGCTACCGGCATTACTTTTATTTGCCATAGCACTTCTAGTAAAACGCAACCTATGATCACACTACCAACGTATTGGTAGGCCCTAACGTTAGTGAGAAAGAGAAGCAAAAATATTGTTTTTTAGCAGTGCAAGATGCAAATCCAAGTCCTGTTTAAGAGGTCATTTATAACGATAATCCACGAATCGAGCTCCCAGCCACAGTTGCTGCCTTAGTTCAATCCTTCTTTCGTACTTAACATTTTTCGTCCAACTCGTTGTGAAACTAAAATGTAGCAAAACTTTTAAATATGTCTTCCTTTCCATGTTACTCTTTCTGGATTTCATTGATGGCAGGGTATCCAATAATTCTCCTTTCTTCTCACTGTCCTTAGCCCCCCAAAATATCGAGCCACATCGACTCCGGGAAGTCGATCGACTGTGGCTCACGCCTCAGATCCACCCTCCTCATCTCCAAATAGCCAAAGAACACAGGATCGTCGTCTAGTCAAAGGTCAATCCGCGTTAAATTTGAATCTTCCCACACCTACCCTACCGATTGCTTTGCAACAAATCGATTCCGACGATTGGGAGGCCAAGGTGTCCGGTTTGGAAGCGTTAGCGCAACTCGCGCTGGAAAAACCGAATACTTATCTGAGTGGACAGGGTCAAGGTGGATCCGCATCTGCCGGTGTCACCCGTCAGTCATCCGCTCAAATGCTGAGCTCCTCAGATGCCCTAAGTCAAGCAGTACAGGCGGTGATAGCCGAATGCCGAAACCTGCGCTCTCAGGTAGATTTCTTGTTGTATTGCTTGGCAGGAGCGGTTCGCAGCCAATCGATCGCGGACTTCGGTTGATGCCTTTGAATTTTTGCTCCAGATCTTATCTGTGTGCATTAGTTTCAACCACAGTTTTCCTGATCGTTTACCTTCCCCAATTATGTGACTGTTACTGCATTCTTTCGTCTACACTCGATCACTTAATAAGTGCGAAGTAAATAGAAAAACTATAAGCTGAGAACACTATTAGAATAGTTTAGCTGATTTCGGTTCTTATTCACGAGTGAATTCCTCATTCACATTCAGCTTGAACCGTTCGTGTGCCTATATAGCTATTCTATCTCTTTACGTTGACAATCATTATTGTTGCTTATCCCACGAACCCATCAGGTTTGAATTTAAGCATGAGGTTTTAGGGTTCAACTTATTCCTTATACTCAGCTGGGTGAGTGGGTTGTCTCGTGTAATACACGTATAGTATTCTGTAAAACGGCGTGTATTGCATCCATGATCCAGTTTGAACCCCACAAAGAGTCTTTTATTATCTCATTTCACTTGTTCGCCGAGCTTGGCAGTTTGTTTGCAAACGTTTCATCACCAGCCGAGGTGACATCATGAGTTCTTTCCACTTCACAAACACTGATGATGTCACCTCGGCTGGTGGTGTAAGGTTTGTAAACTATTTGCCAAGCTCGGCGAACAGGCGAAATGGAATTCAGTTCACCCGAGCTACGAGAACAGATTTTCAATAGTTTGTAAGTCTCTTGTAATCTGTTCACAATGATAAGATCGCGGCAACATGTACGGGTTCTCAAACGTAACGTGCTGTTAAGAAAATACAACCAGAGCACAATCACTGTGCCTACTTTGAATTTGATCTGTGCAGGCTTTCAAAAAATTTCTCTATGTAAAACATTCACATGCCTCAAAAAGTGGTGACTGAAAATGACTAAGGTGGCCTCAGGCGCCTTGCAAAAGACGACTGTGGAACGTGTACAAAACATATGCCAAGTAAAAGATACCATGACGATCGAAATCTTCATCTCCCAGTTGACCCTTACTTGGTCGGAAAATTTTGGACAGTACAATGCAGTATCGATCTGAAGGCAGTGTACTGATTACTCCAAATAAACATTCTGTATTCCAAGTGGCAAGATATTTTATATTACTCGAGGTTTTTTGTCTACGAAATTTTGTCTCATTAAACCTTTACGCTTTTTCTGTTCCAGGTTTCTCGTCAAGCTGTTCAAACATTGAGCAGCCTGTTTCAAGGTTTGGGACGAGCAATGGATCCCCATGTGGAGGTATGCGTCCGAGTACTGTTGGGTAAGACCGGAGAAGCAGCTGCAGCATTTCTTCGTGACGAAGTGGCCGTCGCTATGGATGCTTTAACACAATCTGCCAATCCTTCACGCGCTCTCACCGCTCTGATGCAGCATGGATTAGGGTGAGTGAAGCAAGCACAGTAACGCTTCCCCTAGCAGATACATTGTCTGCTGTTTTCATTATCGAACCGTGGTCCAATCCACGTGAACACTTGTCGTGTTCGTGAAATACGCGGTTATTGTAAACAATCAGTGCATGAATGCCGGAGTGTAGGCCAGAACTCCGATTCACTGTTTGTCGACGTTTCTTTCCGGTCTCAGAATTTGCATCTGGCAAAAAAATAAGAGAAACAGTGTCGGTGACACAGTTTCTCCGTACTGGTCATTCTGTTTCCTGTCTGTGATCGTCTGTTTTGCTGTGCACGATGTTACGGGACATAGTACCGCTAAATTGTGTAACGTAGCCTGTCTAGAGTGGAGTAGATGGATGGGGGATTTTTCCGGATTTATTGTGTTACCCTCGCGATGCGCGTGCCTATCCATTGATTGTAGTCTCTGTCGCGCTCAAAACTACAAGGATACGTTATGCACATTGGTTGTGTATGGTCTTGTTAGGCACCGTTCTGATTTTGCCTACTCCAGTTCAGGTCACTGTCTCGTTGAAAGAAACGCTCTTTAAGATTAAATCCACCCAGGCTGTGGTTATGCTATTAAGTGCTGGAAATGGGATAAACAAATGAATGTGAGAGTCGAATTGTCCATATCTGTGTGTGTATGCTGATAAGTGTATTATTTATCAATATGGATAATGCGAGGAGATTCTATGTGCAACGTTGCATTTCTTGAACATCGAATCACTTTCAGCATTACTTGAGCTTCATGAATTATCCCAAACCGCAGTTTCAGGTTGAGGGTTCGGTACATAGGGTTTTGTCATCAAAACACCGGAGGTCTCGTACACAACCATCTTGGCGAATTACACACACGCATATATACA